CCACCATTACACACTATCCACCATTACACACTATCCACCATTACACATTATCCACCATCACACATTATCCACTATCACACGTTATCCACCATCACACATTATCCACCATTACACATTATCCACCATCACACATTATCCACCATCACACATTATCCACTATCACACGTTATCCACTATCACACGTTATCCACTATCACACGTTATCCACTATCACACGTTATCCACTATCACACATTATCCACTATCACACATTATCTCTCCATCTATGCCCCTCTTGGTATCGATCTCTGTCTCCCTCTCTTTACTCTTTCACAGTCTGGGAATACTGTGGTTGCATCCCAACTGGCACTCTATTCCTTGTATAGTGCACTACTTCTGTAAGGCTCTGGACAAAATTAGTGCACAATACAGGGACTAGGGTGCTATTTGGGACTAGGGTGCTATTTGGGAATAGGGTGCTATTTGGGACTAGGGTGCTATTTGGGCCACAGCCTGTATTAAACTGTGAAGTTACACAGTCTGGGAATGCTTCCTGGAGGGGACAGAATTACTGTCATGTTCTCACAAGGAAGGTAATGGTGCAGGAAAAACTATAATGAAAGACCGCTAGAGCCTGGACTTTTCCACGTAAGGTAGCTTACTAAGTAAGCCAGAGTGACCCATAGGGCAGGACAGGAATATATCTCCTGTTTCTGTAGAGTGAGTACACCCCTGCACAGGACGCTAGTCTATCTCCTGTTTCTGTAGTGAGGCAGTTCACCTGGACAGGATGCTAGTCTATCTCCTGTTTCCGTAGCGAGGCAGTTCACCTGGACAGGATGCTAGTCTATCTCCTGTTTCTGTAGCGCGAGGCAGTTCACCTGGACAGGATGCTAGTCTATCTCCTGTTTCTGTAGCGAGGCAGTTCACCTGGACAGGATGCTAGTCTATCTCCTGTTTCTGTTGAGTGAGGCAGTTCACCTGGACAGGATGCTAGTCTATCTCCTGTTTCTGTAGTGAGGCAGTTCACCTGGACAGGATGCTAGTCTATCTCCTGTTTCCGTAGCGCGAGGCAGTTCACCTGGACAGGATGCTAGTCTATCTCCTGTTTCTGTAGCGCGAGGCAGTTCACCTGGACAGGATGCTAGTCTATCTCCTGTTTCCGTAGCGCGAGGCAGTTCACCTGGACAGGATGCTAGTCTATCTCCTGTTTCCGTAGCGCGAGGCAGTTCACCTGGACAGGATGCTAGTCTATCTCCTGTTTCTGTAGCGAGGCAGTTCACCTGGACAGGATGCTAGTCTATCTCCTGTTTCCGTAGTGAGGCAGTTCACCTGGACAGGATGCTAGTCTATCTCCTGTTTCTGTAGTGAGGCAGTTCACCTGGACAGGATGCTAGTCTATTTCCTGTTTCTGTAGCGAGGCAGTTCACCTGGACAGGATGCTAGTCTATCTCCTGTTTCTGTAGCGAGGCAGTTCACCTGGACAGGATGCTAGTCTATCTCCTGTTTCCGTAGCGCGGCAGTTCACCTGGACAGGACGCTAGTCTATCTCCTGTTTCTGTAGTGAGGCAGTTCACCTGGACAGGATGCTAGTCTATCTCCTGTTTCCGTAGTGAGGCAGTTCACCTGGACAGGATGCTAGTCTATCTCCTGTTTCTGTAGTGAGGCAGTTCACCTGGACAGGATGCTAGTCTATCTCCTGTTTCTGTAGTGAGGCAGTTCACCTGGACAGGATGCTAGTCTATCTCCTGTTTCCGTAGCGAGGCAGTTCACCTGGACAGGACGCTAGTCTATCTCCTGTTTCTGTAGTGAGGTAGTTCACCTGGACAGGATGCTAGTCTATCTCCTGTTTCTGTAGCGCGAGCAGGGCTGGCTCAATACAGGGGCTTACCGGGGCTGAATCCCCTGGACCCAGTCCCGTGGGGGGCCCAATAGAAGAATATATATAGTATACATTATATATGTAGTATATACAGTATTTTGGATGTGTGTAGACAGCCTGCTGCTGCCGCTCTGCTAATCGTCAGATGGGGGGAGGAGAGGAGGTACCCGGCCCACTGATAAAAAACACACAAAAAAAAGACTTTTTTTTTACTGGATCATAAATAAATGTTACTGGTCAACTGTGTGAGTCAGGGGCTGGGCCCAAGAGGCAAAACAATTAAGAAATAACAATTACGTACATTTAAAATATATATATATTTTTTTGTTATCCAACCACAGGAGCCCGTTCTCAATGTTCAAAATACACCAGGGAGCATAATTTAGCCACAGAGGATCAATAGTTTTAAAAAATGTATAACTGTGGATTAAGTTTTATCACAATACAGGTAGCCGCCAAAATAAAGGAAACACCAACATAAAGCCTCTTAAAAGGGTGTTGGGCTTCATCTTCATCATTAGGTGAGTCAGTGTGACACTGGAAATGTTATTTAGTAGCCTATAATATACATACAGTACCAGTCAAAAGTTTGGACGCACCTACTCATTCAAGGGTTTTTCTTTATTTTGAAATTGTTTTACATTGTAGAATAATAGTGAAGACATCAACACTATAAAATAACACATATGTAATCATGTAGTAACCAAAAAAGTGTTAAACAAATCAAAATATATTTAGATTCTTCAAAGTAGCCACCCTTTGCCTTGATGACAGCTTTGCACACTCTTGGCGTTCTCTCAACCAGCTTCATGAGGTAGTCACCTGGAATGCATTTCAATTAACAGGTGTGCCTTCTTAAGTTAATTTGTGGGGGTGAGTTACCAGCCTCAGAAATTGCAGCCCAAATAAATGCTTCACAGAGTTCAAGTAACAGACACATCTCAACATCAAACTGTTCAGAGGGGATGGTGTGAATCAGGCCTTCATGGTAGAACTGCTGCAAGAAACCACTACTAAAGGACACCAATAAGAAGAAGAGACTTGCTTGGGCCAAGAAACACGAGCAATGGACATTAGACTGGTGGAAATCTGTCCTTTGGTCTGGAGTCCAAATTTGAAAATTTTGGTTCCAACCGCTTTGTCTTTGTGAGACGCGGTGTGGGTGAACAGATGATCTCCGCATGTGTATTTCCCACCGTAAAGCATGGAGGAGGAGGTGTTATGGTGTGGGGGTGCTTTGCTGGTGACACTGTCAGTGATTTATTTAGAATTCAAGGCACACTTAACCAGCATGGCTACCACAGCATTCTGCAGTGATACCCCATCCCATCTGGTTTGGGCTTAATGGGACTATCATTAGTTTTTCAACAGGACAATGACCCAACACACCTCCAGGCTGTGTAAGGGCTATTTGACCAAGGAGAGTGATGGAGTGCTGATTCAGATGACCTGGCCTCCACAATCCCCCGACCACAACCCAATTGAGATGGTTTGGGATGAGTCGGACGGCAGAGTGAAGGAAAAGTAGCCAACAAGTGCTCAGCATATGTGGGAACTCCTTCAAAAAGTTGGAAAAGCATTCCAGGTTAAGCTGGTTGAGACAATGCCAAGAGTGTGCAAAGCTGTCATCAAGGCAAAGGGTGGCTATTTGAAGAATCTCAAATATAAAATATAGTTTTTGATTCCATATGTGTTATATAGTTTGATGTCTTCACTATTATTCTACAATGTAAAAAATAAAGAAAGAGTGAGTAGGTGTGTCCAAACTTTTGACTGGTACTGTATGTATATATATATATATATATATATATATATATATATATATATATATATATATATATATATATATATTTCCTCCTAATATTGTACAATCTGTGTGTTGCTTCATTGGCCTGGGCTATTGTTGGGCTATTGTTGTTTGAATTCAGTACACCCCCTGGACAGGACACTAGTCTATCTCCTGTTTCTGTAGTGAGACAGCTTGATGTACCAGTACACCCCCTGGACAGGACACTAGTCTATCTCCTGTTTCTGTAGTGAGACAGCTTGATGTACAGTACACCCCCTGGACAGGACACTAGTCTATCTCCTGTTTCTGTAGTGAGACAGCTTGATGTACAGTACACCCCCTGGACAGGACACTAGTCTATCTCCTGTTTCTGTAGTGAGACAGCTTGATGTACAGTACACCCCCTGGACAGGACACTAGTCTATCTCCTGTTTCTGTAGTGAGACAGCTTGATGTACAGTACACCCCCTGGACAGGACACTAGTCTATCTCCTGTTTCTGTAGTGAGACAGCTTGATGTACAGGACACCCCCTGGACAGGACACTAGTCTATCTCCTGTTTCTGTAGTGAGACAGCTTGATGTACAGGACACCCCCTGGACAGGACACTAGTCTATCTCCTGTTTCTGTAGTGAGACAGCTTGATGTACCAGTCCACCCCTGGACAGGACACTAGTCTATCTCCTGTTTCTGTAGTGAGACAGCTTGATGTACAGTACACCCCCTGGACAGGACACTAGTCTATCTCCTGTTTCTGTAGTGAGGCAGCTTGATGTACAGGACACCCCCTGGACAGGACACTAGTCTATCTCCTGTTTCTGTAGTGAGACAGCTTGATGTACCAGTACAACCCCCTGGACAGGACACTAGTCTATCTCCTGTTTCTGTAGTGAGACAGCTTGATGTACAGTACACCCCCTGGACAGGACACTAGTCTATCTCCTGTTTCTGTAGTGAGGCAGCTTGATGTACAGGACACCCCCTGGACAGGACACTAGTCTATCTCCTGTTTCTGTAGTGAGACAGCTTGATGTACCAGTACACCCCCTGGACAGGACACTAGTCTATCTCCTGTTTCTGTAGTGAGACAGCTTGATGTACAGGACACCCCCTGGACAGGACACTAGTCTATCTCCTGTTTCTGTAGTGAGGCAGCTTGATGTACAGGACACTAGTCTATCTCCTGTTTCTGTAGTGAGACAGCTTGATGTACAGTACACCCCCTGGACAGGACACTAGTCTATCTCCTGTTTCTGTAGTGAGACCGCTTGAGGCAATATACCACCTGGACAGCTCACATGGTCAGGAAAAACTCCTTGCCTTAATTAATTCCATATAGAAATATAGTCCCTATTTTATTTTCTGGACTAAAATATCTCTAGTATACAACATCTTAGTAAATACTTTACCTGGAACATGACAGTGAAGAAGACCACTATGATGGTTGTGGCCACGAAGTAGTCTTTAGCAGGGACCCGTTCTGCGTCCAGCAGCACCACCAAGGCGAACGCCACCGCCCCTCGCAGGCCACCATACGACATCACCACCTGGTCGATCTTGTCCAATGGGACGAGGCGGAACCAGTTCAACACCCAGGTCTGCATGACCACACCTGAAAGAGATCAGAGACAAGAGAATTGATCAGCTACAGTATGTCACTTATTTCATCACAATATAAAATGAAGTCATGCCAATACATTCTCAGACTCATCATTGAGTACGGAGTACCATCTTTGATTATTGATAACGGCAAGAGATATTCTGCCACTTTTGGAGTTCGTTGAAAAAGTTATTATTTTATCATCCAACTCTGTTTGGCATTAAAGGTTTTATAGCGAGCCCAATCACTGATACACACTGGATCCTCAAGACTATGTTCAGTATCTGCGTGTAGAGCAAGCACCATGACGAAAAGGCTCTTCAGACCAGGTCCAATAAATCCACAGCAAGGAGAGATGAGTGCTCCTTTCTTTGTGGTGTGTGTAGGTCCCCACTTACCCACGGGCCGCAATCATTGATCCATAGTAGAATATATCGATATTCACCTTGAGGATGTATAGGAAGGCAGCCCCTACCCATGGCCCAATGCTGTGGACAGTATGGATGTATAGCCCCTACCCATGGCCCAATGCTGTGGACAGTATGGATGTATAGGAAGGCAGCCCCTACCCATGGCCCAATGCTGTGGACAGTATGGATGTATAGGAAGGCAGCCCCTACCCATGGCCCAATGCTGTGGACAGTATGGATGTATAGGAAGGCAGCCCCTACCCATGGCCCAATGCTGTGGACAGTATGGATGTATAGGAAGGCAGCCCCTACCCATGGCCCTGAAGACGAAGATGAAGATCAGTGTGCAGGAGATGAGTCCGGTGTCCCAGGCCCACTTGGACTTGTCCACGGCTGAGATGCCCAGGAAGATGAAGATGATGGTCTCAGCGATGCTGGCCAGGGTCTTCATCGTGTACTTCACCGTGGTACGAGACTTCTGGGATATGTTGGCCTCCACGTACTTGTTGCAGCCGATACCACAGAACGTCATTCTGAAGGTGGAGAGAGAGAGAGGAGGAGGAGAGGAGAAGGGTCGTAACCAGGGTTCCTGTTTTGAGGTCCGGAAGAGGGAGGAGGTCATTTTTTGAAAGTTGAAGCACATTTACTGCATTTCTATACAATTAAAAAAAAAATTCAAATGCTATTTGGAGAACAGCAAAACAAGCCAAAATGCCCCCAGACATTATCACCTTGGCTGCTGTAGGTTAATTCACTGCAGTCCATCTACAAACAGAGAAGCCTACTAGCTATACAGCTGTAATGTTATAAAGGGGGGAACTATGAGAAATGATTCACACTGACACGTAGCATCAGCGATGAAACAAAAACCTATTACATTTTTAGAACTGTATTGTTTGCATGTTGGTTGTATTTTAATGTAGACCTATAGGGAAGATAGGTCCTGTGGAGATGTTCATATTGAAACATACAGTGGTTGTATTTTAATGTAGGTCTATAGGGAAGATAGGTCCTGTGGAGATGTTCATATTGAAACATACAGTGGTTGTATTTTAATGTAGACCTATAGGGAAGATAGGTCCTGTGGAGATGTTCATATTGAAACATACAGTGGTTGTATTTTAATGTAGACCTATAGGGAAGACCGGTCATGTGGAGATGTTCATATTGAAACGTACAGTGGTTGTATTTTAATGTAGACCTATAGGGAAGACCGGTCATGTGGAGATGTTCATATTGAAACATACAGTGGTTGTATTTTAATGTAGACCTATAGGGAAGACAGGTCCTGTGGAGATGTTCATATTGAAATATATCATTTAAAAAAAAAGTTCTCACAGAGGACCCCACATTGGGCCCGACCCCAAGTTTTGGAACAACTGCACTAACCTCTCGCTCTGTCTCTCCGTTTTGTTCTACAGTATGATATTAGGAAGGCAGCCCCAGTGGTCCTCTGTAGCTCAGCTGGTAGAGCACGGCGCTTGTAACGCCAAGGTAGTGGGTTCGATCCCCGGGACCACCCATACACAAAAAAAAAAAAATTATGCACGCATGACTGTAAGTCGCTTTGGATAAAAGCGTCTGCTAAATGGCATATTATTATTATTATTATATATTATTATATTACCATGGATATTACCTTCTAATTGACCTGGCTGTACAGCATGATATTACCATGGATATTACCTTCTAATTGACCTGGCTGTACAGCATGATATTACCATGGATATTACCTTCTAATTGACCTGGCTGTACAGCATGATATTAACATGGATATTACCTTCTAATTGACCTGGCTGTACAGCATGATATTAACATGGATATTACCCTCTAATTGACCTGGCTGTACAGCATGATATTAACATGGATATTACCTTCTAATTGACCTGGCTGTACAGCATGATATTACCATGGATATTACCTTCTAATTGACCTGGCTGTACAGCATGATATTAACATGGATATTACCTTCTAATTGACCTGGCTGTATAGCATGATATTAACATGGATATTACCTTCTAATTGACCTGGCTGTACAGCATGATATTACCATGGATATTACCTTCTAATTTACCTGGCTGTACATCATGATATTAACATGGATATTACCTTCTAATTGACCTGGCTGTACAGCATGATATTATCATGGATATTACCTTCTAATTTACCTGCCACTACAGCATGATATTACCATGGATATTACCTTCTAATTGACCTGGCTGTACAGCATGATATTAACATGGATATTACCTTCTAATTGACCGGGCTGTACATCATGATATTAACATGGATATACCTTCTAATTGACCTGGCTGTACAGCATGATATTAACATGGATATTACCTTCTAATTGACCTGGCTGTACAGCATGATATTACCATGGATATTACCTTCTAATTGACCTGGCTGTACAGCATGATATTACCATGGATATTACCTTCTAATTGACCTGGCTGTACAGCATGATATTAACATGGATATTACCTTCTAATTGACCTGGCTGTACAGCATGATATTAACATGGATATTACCTTCTAATTGACCTGGCTGTACATCACCTGTAATATTAACATGGATATTACTTCTAATTGGACCTGGCTGTAAAGGATGATATTAACATGGATATATCTTCTAATTGACCTGGCTGTACAGTATGATATTAACATGGATATTACCTTCTAATTGACCTGGCTGTACAGCATGATATTAACATGGATACCTTCTAATTGACCTGGCTGTACAGCATGATATTAACATGGATATTACCTTCTAATTGACCTGGCTGTACAGCATGATATTAACATGGATATTACCTTCTAATTGACCTGGCTGTACAGCATGATATTAACATGGATATTACCTTCTAATTGACCTGGCTGTACAGCATGATATTAACATGGATATTACCTTCTAATTTACCTGCCACTACAGCATGATATTACCATGGATATTACCTTCTAATTGACCTGGCTGTACAGCATGATATTAACATGGATATTACCTTCTAATTGACCGGGCTGTACATCATGATATTACCATGGATATTACCTTCTAATTGACCTGGCTGTACAGCATGATATTACCATGGATATTACCTTCTAATTGACCTGGCTGTACAGCATGATATTAACATGGATATTACCTTCTAATGACCTGGCTGTACAGCATGATATTAACATGGATATTACCCTCTAATTGACCTGGCTGTACAGCATGATATTACCATGGATATTACCTTCTAATTGACCTGGCTGTACAGCATGATATTACCATGGATATTACCTTCTAATTGACCTGGCTGTACAGCATGATATTAACATGGATATTACCTTCTAATTGACCTGGCTGTAAAGGATGATATTAACATGGATATTATCTTCTAATTGACCTGGCTGTACAGTATGATATTAACATGGATATTACCTTCTAATTGACCTGGCTGTACAGCATGATATTAACATGGATATTACCTTCTAATTGACCTGGCTGTACAGCATGATATTAACATGGATATTACCTTCTAATTGACCTGGCTGTACAGCATGATATTAACATGGATATTACCTTCTAATTGACCTGGCTGTACAGCATGATATTAACATGGATATTACCTTCTAATTGACCTGGCTGTACAGCATGATATTAACATGGATATTACCTTCTAATTGACCTGGCTGTACAGCATGATATTAACATGGATATTACCTTCTAATTGACCTGGCTGTACAGCATGATATTAACATGGATATTACCTTCTAATTGACCTGGCTGTACATCATGATATTAACATGGATATTACCTTCTAATTGACCTGGCTGTACAGTATGATATTAACATGGATATTACCTTCTAATTGACCTGGCTGTACAGCATGATATTAACATGGATATTACCTTCTAATTGACCTGGCTGTACAGCATGATATTAACATGGATATTACCTTCTAATTGACCTGGCTGTACAGCATGATATTAACATGGATATTACCTTCTAATTGACCTGGCTGTACAGCATGATATTAACATGGATATTACCTTCTAATTGACCTGGCTGTACAGATGATATTAACATGGATATTACCTTCTAATTGACCTGGCTGTACATCATGATATTAACATGGATATACCTTCTAATTGACCTGGCTGTACAGCATGATATTAACATGGATATTACCTTCTAATTGACCTGGCTGTACAGCATGATATTAACATGGATATTACCTTCTAGTTGACCTGGCTGTACAGTATGATATTAACATGGATATTACCTTCTAATTGACCTGGCTGTACAGCATGATATTAATGATATTAACATGGATATTACCTTCTAATTGACCTGGCTGTACAGTATGATATTAACATGGATATTACCTTCTAATTGACCTGGCTGTACAGCATGATATTAACATGGATATTACCTTCTAATTGACCTGGCTGTACAGCATGATATTAACATGGATATTACCCTCTAATTGACCTGGCTGTACAGCATGATATTAACATGGATATTACCTTCTAATTGACCTGGCTGTACAGCATGATATTAACATGGATATTACCTTCTAATTGACCTGGCTGTACAGCATGATATTAACATGGATAATACCTTCTAATTGACCTGGCTGTACAGCATGATATTAACATGGATATTACCTTCTAATTGACCTGGCTGTACAGCATGATATTAACATGGATATTACCTTCTAATTGACCTGGCTGTACATCATGATATTAACATGGATATTACCTTCTAATTGACCTGGCTGTACATCATGATATTAACATGGATATTACCTTCTAATTGACCTGGCTGTACAGCATGATTACATGGATATTACCTTCTAATTGACCTGGCTGTACAGCATGATTAACATGGATTACCTTCTAATTGACCTGCCACTACAGCATGATATTAACATGGATATTACCTTCTAATTGACCTGGCTGTACAGCATGATATTAACATGGATATTACCTTCTAATTGACCTGGCTGTACAGCATGATATTAACATGGATATTACCTTCTAATTGACCTGGCTGTACAGCATGATATTAACATGGATATTACCTTCTAATTGACCTGGCTGTACAGCATGATATTAACATGGATATTACCTTCTAATTGACCTGGCTGTACATCATGATATTAACATGGATATTACCTTCTAATTGACCTGGCTGTACAGCATGATATTAACATGGATATTACCTTCTAATTGACCTGGCTGTACAGCATGATATTAACATGGATATCCTTCTAATTTACCTGGCTGTACAGCATGATATTACCATGGATATTACCTTCTAATTTACCTGGCTGTACAGCATGATATTAACATGGATATTACCTTCTAATTGACCTGGCTGTACATCATGATATTAACATGGATATTACCTTCTAATTGACCTGGCTGTACAGCATGATATTAACATGGATATTACCTTCTAATTGACCTGGCTGTACAGCCTGATATTAACATGGATATTACCTTCTAATTGACCTGGCTGTACAGCATGATATTAACATGGATATTACCTTGTAATTGACCTGGCTGTACAGCATGATATTAACATGGATATTACCTTCTAATTGACCTGGCTGTACAGCATGATATTAACATGGATATTACCTTCTAATTGACCTGGCTGTACAGCATGATATTAACATGGATATTACCTTGTAATTGACCTGGCTGTACAGCATGATATTAACATGGATATTACCTTCTAATTTACCTGGCTGTACAGCATGATATTAACATGGATATTACCTTCTAATTTACCTGGCTGTACAGCATGATATTAACATGGATATTACCTTCTAATTGACCTGGCTGTACAGCATGATATTAACATGGATATTACCTTCTAATTGACCTGGCTGTACAGCATGATATTAACATGGATATTACCTTCTAATTGACCTGGCTGTACAGCATGATATTACCATGGATATTACCTTCTAATTGACCTGGCTGTACATCATGATATTAACATGGATATTACCTTCTAATTGACCTGGCTGTACAGCATGATATTACCATGGATATTACCTTCTAATTGACCTGGCTGTACAGCATGATATTAACATGGATATTACCTTCTAATTGACCTGGCTGTACAGCATGATATTAACATGGATATTACCTTCTAATTGACCTGGCTGTACAGCATGATATTAACATGGATATTACCTTCTAATTGACCTGGCTGTACAGCATGATATTACCATGGATATTACCTTCTAATTGACCTGGCTGTACATCATGATTTTAACATGGATATTACCTTCTAATTGACCTGGCTGTACAGCATGATATTACCATGGATATTACCTTCTAATTGACCTGGCTGTACATCATGATATTAACATGGATATTACCTTCTAATTGACCTGGCTGTACAGCATGATATTAACATGGATATTACCTTCTAATTGACCTGGCTGTACAGCATGATATTAACATGGATATTACCTTCTAATTGACCTGGCTGTACAGCATGATATTAACATGGATATTACCTTCTAATTGACCTGGCTGTACAGCATGATATTAACATGGATATTACCTTCTAATTGACCTGGCTGTACAGCATGATATTACCATGGATATTACCTTCTAATTGACCTGGCTGTACAGCATGATATTAACATGGATATTACCTTCTAATTGACCTGGCTGTACATCATGATATTAACATGGATATTACCTTCTAGTTGACCTGGCTGTACAGCATGATATTAACATGGATATTACCTTCTAATTGACCTGGCTGTACAGCATGATATTAACATGGATATTACCTTCTAATTGACCTGGCTGTACAGCATGACTCACACAACATTAGGGACAACAGGGACACAGAAAGGGGATTTACCATAGAAATGGGATTAGGACATTCATATCATATAGATATCTCTCTTGGGGACAGAGTCAGATCCTAATATATGCAATGTCTTGGTTTTGCCATGGATGTGTTGACCGAACTGGAACATGCAGATATTGAGAGCGAGCATCTCTCTAATTCAAGCCTTTTCGGTGAAAAAATGGGCTACCTTCAGCGGACAGGAGAGCACAGGAGAGCACCAACAACCTTTCAGTGCTAACCTGAGACCTCAAGCCTCTATTCAGGGGAATATATATGGTCCTCTGTAGCTCAGCTGGTAGAGCCACGGCGCTTGTTACGCCAAGGTAGTGGGGTTCGATCCCCGGGACCACCCATACACAAAAAAATGTATGCACGCATGACTGTAAGTCGCTTTGGATAAAAGCGTCTGCTAAATGGCATATTATTATTATTATTAAAACTACATCTTAATAGACTTTTCATCCGACCTTGAAATGCTTTATCCCAGCGGGCAGCATGACTCGGCACATGGGCTACATCCCAATTCTCTACCCTTTTCTAGAAGTGTACACTTGCACACTGCCTGTCATGGATTTAAAAGCGTAGGACTGGTGTAATCGCTGGCTGGTGGGAGTTTCCACCATTGTAATATTCAATCGAGTGCAACACTCCGGGAGACGTGCGGAGAACCAGGACTCAGAAACCTCATGGTCCAATCCAGCTGTAATGATCAGAAACCCTAATCTAATCTAATGATTTTGAGGTAGCCAGAAAACAGAGAGTGGTTGAGTTGCAGCCAGCCAGGGCAGAAAAGTTTGGACTTAGAAGAGACTAAACTACAATGGTGATCTGGTGCTGAGGAGACAACAGAGTAAGTACACACACACATCCACACACACCCACACCCACACACACACACACACACACACACACACACACACACACACACACACACACATCCCCCTCCCCCCCAATGACAGCAGAATATAAAATACATTGCCAAATGAAGTAAGCTTTATGCAACATCCTTTATAGTGCAGACCATCACATTTTACGTGGTGATTTCCTTAACAAATACTAAAGATGTACTCACGACAAGATGGCGGACAGGGAGAAGAGTTCAGCGGTGAGGTAGGCCAGGTAGACCATGAGGAAGACCAAGAGAGGCTCAATGATGCGGACCTTCTTGGTGAAACGTGTGATGAAGGCTAGGAGAGCAGCAAAGATCAGCCCCACCATGGTCCCCCCAATACTGACGATGAGGAATGAGGCTGAGGAGGAAGAGGAGGACGACGACGAAGATGCGGAGAAAGAGGAGGAGGAGGAACGGTGAGGGGGAGACAGGGAGGAAGAGGAGAGGGGGAAGAGGAGGGGGAACACAGGGAGGGGGAGAGTCTTTAGGTTCAGAGATAGGAAATCAGTGGCCATGCAGAGCATATTGTATACCCACTCCTTTGAAATAGTCAGCTGTCTGAACATTCTCAGGAACTAGAAGAACACATCCTCACCCACTCCTTTGAAATAGTCAGCTGTCTGAACATTCTCAGGAACTAGAAGAACACATCCTCACCCACTCCTTTGAAATAGTCAGCTGTCTGAACATTCTCAGGGCCCACCTCCACGAAGGACATGTATACCTTATACAACACCTGCAGAGAAGGAGAGATTACAACATTAGTAGATTGTCTTTGTAACTCTCTCCATCACACAACACATTCTCTATACAGGTGGGTGCTACTCATTGGTAGTGGATGATTCTTGCTGTGGGGTTGGTTATAACCCTGGTCCACTATTAAAAGGCCTGGGGTTGGTTATAACCCTGGTCCACTATTAAAGGCCTGGGGTTGGTTATAACCCTGGCCCACTATTAAAGGCCTGGGGTTGGTTATAACCCTGGTCCACTATTAAAAGGCCTGGGGTTGGTTATAACCCTGGTCCACTATTAAAGGCCTGGGGTTGGTTATAACCCTGGTCCACTATTAAAATGCCTGGGGTTGGTTATAACCCTGGTCCACTATTAAAGGCCTGGGGTTGGTTATAACCCTGGCCCACTATTAAAGGCCTGGGGTTGGTTATAACCCTGGTCCACTATTAAAGGTCTGGGGTTGGTTATAACCCTGGTCCACTATTAAAGGCCAGGGGTTGGTTATAACCTGGTCCACTATTAAAGGCCTGGGGTTGGTTATAACCCTGGTCCACTATTAATACACAGTAGCTGTGGAGAAACAGACCAGGAAGAGGCAGAAGGTATGTGCAGAACAGAACGATGAGGGAACCTGAAAACGTTGGATCCATCCGATTACTCATCACTGACTCCTGTCCTCTGGCTAGATCTATTACAGAGAAGGACTCCCAACCTGCCCCTGCAGTCCTCACCATGGGCTGCACAGCGTCTCGGGATAGAAGTGCTGATCTAGGATCAGTTTAGCCTAGGATCTAGGATCAGTTTAGCCTAGGATCTAGGATCAGTTTAGCCTAGGATCTAGGATCAGTTTAGCCTAGGATCTAGGATCAGTTTAGCCTAGGATCTAGGATCAGTTTAGCCTAGGATCTAGGATCAGTTTAGCCTAGGATCTAGGATCAGTTTAGCCTAGGATCTAGGATCAGTTTAGCCTAGGATCTAGGATCAGTTTAGCCTAGGATCTAGGATCAGCACTCCTACTCTGAGAGGCTTGATCCATACAGACGACAGTGTTTGGCGTCAGCGCTGGGCTTTTCTGCAGTTTAATCTTCCCGTAAACCAACATACAGTAGGCTGGGCCTCTCATCTCACAAAGCATGGTGGGAACACTGTAGAAGCATAGGGCCTGAAATCCTAGGTTACATCCCAAATCAAGATCAAATCAAATAAAATAAAATTTTATTGGTCACATGCGCCGAATACAACAGGTGCAGACATTACAGTGAAATGCTTACTTACAGCCCTTAACCAACAGTGCATTTATTTTTTACAAAAAAAGTAAAAATAAAACAACAACAAAAAAAGTGTTGAGAGAAAAAAGAGCAGAAGTAAAATAAAGTGACAGTAGGGAGGCTATATATACAGGGGGGTACCGTTGCAGAATAGCACCCTATTCTCAATTCAGTGCGCTACTTCAGGTCTAAAGTAGTGCACTACAAAGGGAATAGGGTGCTATTTGGGATACAGCCATAGACAGCCCTACTCTCCGGGTGATGGTGTTAACTTCACAATCAGCTTTAATATTGCTGATAGATTGTAACTTCCATCAATGTAATTGTCTGCATCACTTCCAATCCCACATACGTTTTTTTTCCACACACACACACACACACACACACACACACACACACACACACACACACACACACACACACTTATATATATATATATATATATATACAGTCGTGGTCAAAGGTTTTGAGAATGACACAAGTATTGGTCTTCACAAAGTTCGCTGCTTCAGTGTTATGAGATATTTTTGTCAGATGTTACTGTGGTATACTGAAGTATAATTACAAGCATTCCATAAGTGTCAAAGGCTTTTATTGACAATTACATTAAGTTTATGCAAAGAGTCAATATTTGCAGTGTTGACCCTTCTTTTTCAAGACCTCTGCAATCCGCCCTGGCATGCTATCAATTAACTTCTGGGCCACATCCTGACTGATGGCAGCCCATTCTTGCATAATCAATGCTTGGAGTTTGTCAGAATTTGTGGGTTTTTGTTTGTCCACCCGCCTCTTGAGGATCGACCACAAGTTCTCAATGGGATTAAGGTCTGGGGAGTTTCCTGGCCATGGACCCAAAATGTCAATGTTTTGTTCCCCGAGCCACTTAGTTATCACTTTTGCCTTATGGCAAGGTGCTCCATCATGCTGGAAAAGGCATTGGTCGTCACCAAACTGTTCTTGGATGGTTGGGTGAAGTTGCTCTCGGAGGATGTGTTGGTACCATTCTTTATTCATGGCTGTGTTCTTAGGCAAAATTGTGAGTGAGCCCACTCCCTTGGCTGAGAAGCAACCCCACACATGAATGGTCTCAGGATGCTTTACTGTTGGCATGACACAGGACTGATGGTAGCGCTCACCTTGTCTTCTCCGGACAAGCTTTTTTCCGGATGCCCCAAACAATCGGAAAGGGGATTCATCAGAGAAAAGGACTTTACCCCAGTCCTCAGCAGTCCAATCCCTGTACCTTTTGCAGAATATCAGTCTGTCCCTGATGTTTTTCCTGGAGAGAAGTGGCTTCTTTGCTGCCCTTCTTGACACCAGGCCATCCTCCAAAAGTCTTCGCCTCACTGTGCGTGCAGATGCACTCACACCTGCCTGCTGCCATTCCTGAGCAAGCTCTGCACTGGTGGTGCCCCAATCCCGCAGCTGAATCAACTTTAGGAGACGGTCCTGGCGCTTGCTGGACTTTCTTGGGCGCCCTGAAGCCTTCATCACAACAATTGAACCTCTCTCCTTGAAGTTCTTGATGATCTGATAAATGGTTGATTTAGGTGCAATCTTACTAGCAGCAATATCCTTGCCTGTGAAGCCCTTTTTGTGCAAAGCAATGATGATGGCACATGTTTCCTTGCAGGTAACCATGGTTAACAGAGGAAGAACAATGATTTCAAGCACCACCCTCCTTTTAAAGCTTCCAGTCTGTTATTCTAACTCAATCAGCATGACAGAGTGATCTCCAGCCTTGTCCTTGTCAACACTCTCACCTGTGTTAACGAGAGAATCACTGACATGATGGCAGCTGGTCCTTTTGTGGCAGGGCTGAATTGCAGTGGAAATGTTTTTGGGGGATTAAGTTCATTTTCATGGCAAAGAGGGACTTTACAATTAATTGCAATTCATCTGATCACTCTTCATGACATTCTGGAGTATAAGCAAATTGCCATCATCAAAACTGAGGCAGCAGACTTTGTGAAAATTAGTATTTGTGTCATTCTCAAAACTTTTGACCACGACTGTATACATACATACATACATACATACATACATATACACATACACATACATATACATACATGTGAGTAAAGACTTAGAGACCGAACGGTAAGAAGTCAGTTGTGTTGGGCACCAGAGAACAAAGAGATACGAGAGAGGTTTAGTGTTCAGCACCAGAATGTTACTGTGTTCACAGACAACAACAATGTAAATAGACTTTCTAATGCGTCTAACGGCCTACTCCAACAAACCCTTGAGCAAAGCCGCTTAGATTTCTCATCAAATAAGCCTGAGACCCGGGGAGGGAAAAAGGAGTACAGCTAACCAGACCTGGGTTCAAATAGTGTTTGAAAGCATTTGCTTTAGGCTTGGCGTGCCAGGTGGACAGGTTTTTTTACAATTGAGACTTTTCCGTTGGTTCCACTGCAACGGCCAAGTTCAATCAAGCACAGATACAGTATTTTAAAATTATTTCAAAAGAGTATTTCAACCCAGGTCGGTTTGCGGCTAGTTAACAGGGCCCCTTGCTGGCCCCTCAGCCCTCAGTCCTAGACCCACTGATCCATATAACTAGTGCCCTCGGGAACTTTAGTTCCCCCTTGGTCTTGGTAAGGCATGCCAGACCTCTAGTATGGTAAGGCATGCCAGACCACAGCACTCTAAACCTTGTGGTGTATGGACCACATTAAAGCCTTCAAACTGCAGAGTCTCACTCAACAAAGCAAGTGGATGTGAAGAGGCCTGAGAGACATTACCACCAAAACCGGCGGCACGCCACAGAACGCCAAAAAAAGTCAAGTCCTCCTCACATCTCCACTGAGATACAGCCAATGGCTGCATCTGAAATGGCCCATAGGACCCTGGTCAACAGTAGCGCATTATATAGGGAATACGGTTCCATTTCAGACACAGTGAATGTGTGGTGAGCATTCTGGTGCCGAATAAATGCCTCACCCATCTAAAAAGGTCATGTGAGTGAGAAAAGCTCTAGAGGAGGGTAAAAGCGCTACAGTATGTCCTGTAAATACTAATGCTGTTGTTGGAGTTATTGTGCAGCATTGATGCTGACCAGGATCATATTTGGATCACATTTCAGAGTGTTGAGGAGAGATTTGCCAATAGAAGAGGGATTGGACACTGGACCAATGGACCTGGTGGATTATTCCCTAAATAGAGGACTGAGCAGAACTGACCCAGTGAGGATGATTAAACTGACCCAGTGGGGATGATTAAACTGACCCAGTGGATATGATAAAACTGACCCAGTGGAGATGATTAAACTGACCCAGTGGAGATGATAAAACTGACCCAGTGGGGATGATTAAACTGACCCAGTGGGGATGATTAAACTGACCCAGTGGAGATGATTAAACTGACCCAGTGGAGATGATAAAACTGACCCAGTGGAGATGATTAAACTGACCCAGTGGAGATGATAAAACTGACCCAGTGGGGATGATTAAACTGACCCAGTGGGGATGATTAAACTGACCCATGGGGATGATTAAACTGACCCAGTGGGGATGATTAAACTGACCCATGGAGATGATTAAACGACCCCGTGGGGATGATAACTGACCCAGTGAGGATGATTAAACTGACCCAGTGGAGATGATTAAACTGACCATGGAGATGATTAAACTGACCCTGAGGATGATTTAAAATGACCCATGGAGATGATTTAAAATGACCCAGGAGGATGATTAAACTGACCCGTGAGGATGATTTAACCCAGTGAATATTAACCCCATGAGATGATAAAAATGACCCAGTGGGGAAAGATAAACTGACCCCGTGGAGATGATAAAACTGACCCCGTGGGGATGTTAAACTGACCCAGTTTGGGGGTGATTAAACTGACCCAGTGGGGGTGATTAAACTGACCCGTGGGGATGATTAAACTGACCCATGGAGATGATTAAACTGACCCAGTGGAGTGATTAAAATGACCCAGTGAGGAGATAAACTGACCCAGTGGAGATGATTAACTGACCCAGTGGAGATGATTAAACTGACCCAGTGAGGATGATTAAACTGACCCAGTGGAGATGATTAAACTGACCCAGTGAGGATGATTAAACTGACCCAGTGAGGATGATTAAACTGACCCAGTGGAGATGATTAAACTGACCCAGTGGAGATGATTAAACTGACCCAGTGGAGATGATTAAACTGACCCAGTGAGGATGATTAAACTGACCCAGTGGAGGATGATTAACTGACCCAGTGGAGATGATTAAACTGACCCAGTGGAGATGATTTACAACTCACCCAGTGGAGATGATTAAACTGACCCAGTGGGAGATGATTAAACTGGACCCAGTGGAGATGATTAAACTGACCCAGTGGAGATGATTAAACTGACCCAGTGGAGATGATTAAACTGACCCAGTGGAGATGATTAAACTGACGCCAGTTGGAGATGATTAAACTGACCCAGTGGGGATGATTAAACCTGACCCAGTGGGGGATGATTAAACTGACCCAGTGGAGATGATTAAACTGACCCAGTGGAGATGATTAAACTGACCCAGTGGAGATGATTAAACTGACCCAGTGGAGATGATTAAACTGACCAGTGGAGATGATTAAACTGACCCAGTGGAGATGATTAAACTGACCCAGTGGAAGAAATGACCAGTGGAGATGATTAAACTGACCCAGTGGGGATGATTAAACTGACCCAGTGGAGATGATTAAACTGACCCAGTGGAGATGATTAAACTGACCCAGTGGAGATGATTAAACTGACCCAGTGGAGATGATTAAACTGACCCAGTGGGGATGATTAAACTGACCCAGTGGAGATGATTAAACTGACCCAGTGGAGATGATTAAACTGACCCAGTGAGGATGATTAAACTGACCCAGTGGAGATGATTAAACTGACCCAGTGGAGATGATTAAACTGACCCAGTGGAGATGATTAAACTGACCCAGTGGAGATGATTAAACTGACCCAGTGGAGATGATTAAACTGACCCAGTGGAGATGATTAAACTGACCCAGTGGAGATGATTAAACTGACCCAGTGGAGATGATTAAACTGACCCAGTGGAGATGATTAAACTGACCCAGTGGAGGATGATTAACTGGACCCAGTTGAGATGATTAAACTGACCCAGTGGAGATGATTAAAACTGACCCAGTGGAGATGATTAACCTGACCCAGTGGAGGATTGATTAAACTGACCCAGTGGAGGATATTAAAACTGACCCAGTGGGATGATTATTAAACTGACCCAGTGGAGATGATTAAACTGACCCAGTGCGAGATAACTGGACCCAGTGGGAGATGATTAAACTGACCCAGTGGGGATGATTAAACTGACCCCAGTGGAGATTGATTAAACTGACCCAGTGGAGATGATTAAACTCACCCAGTGAGGATGATTAAACTGACCCAGTGAGATGATTAAAACTGACCCAGTGGAGATGATTAAACAGACCCAGTGGAGATGATTAAACTGACCCAGTGGAGATGATTAAACTGACCCAGTGGAGATGATTAAACTGACCCAGTGGAGATGATTAAACTGACCCAGTGGAGATGATTAAACTGACCCAGTGGAGATGATTAAACTGACCCAGTGGGGATGATTAAACTGACCCAGTGGAGATGATTAAACTGACCCAGTGGAGATGATTAAACTGACCCAGTGAGGATGATTAAACTGACCCAGTGAGGATGATTAAACTGACCCAGTGAGGATGATTAAACTGACCCAGTGGAGATGATTAAACTGACCCAGTGAGGATGATTAAACTGACCCAGTGGGGATGATTAAACTGACCCAGTGGGGATGATTAAACTGACGTAGAGGAGGACAGCACAGTGCCCTGGACTATTGGAAATATGTTTTTTGCATAATCCCAACTCTCCCTGAGACACCCTCAGAGAGTGGGGTCACGGCCAGGGTCAGCCATTATCAACGCCAACCCTGGAGCCATTAGGGTTAAGTGCCTTGGGGGGGCACATCAACAGATTTTTCACCGTGTCGGCTTGGGGATTCGAACTAGCGACCTTTTAGTTACTGGCCCAACGCTCTAAATGCTAGGCTACCTGCCGCCCACACATACTAGTGTGTCCAGTGCCCAGTAACGAAGAATGCCAGGGGTTAATGGTCCAATACCCCGTAATGTCTCCTGAGTGGCGCAGTGGTCTAAGGCACTGCATCGCAGTGCTAACTGTGCCACTAGATATCCTGGTTCGAATCCAGGCTCTGTCGCAGCCGGCCGCGACCGGGAGACTCATGGGCGGCGCACAATTGGCCCAGCGTCGTCCAGGGTAGGGGAGGGAATGGCCGGCAGGGATGTAGCTCAGTTGATAGAGCATGGCATTTGCAATGCCAGGGTTGTGGGTTCGATTCCCACGGGGGACCAGTATAAAAAAAAAAATGTATTCACTAACTGTAAGTCGCTCTGGATAAGAGCGTCTGCTAAATGACTAAAATGTAAAATGTAAATGTAATCCCACAAAGACGGGTCAACTCCTAACACGTGTAGATCCCTCCTCTTCAGATGAGCTCAGTGGACTGCTGCTGTAAGCAAGCTCTGGTGTTCTATGTATCGCTGTGAGGTTCATGTGTTTTAATAAGGACTGCTAGACGTGATCGTGAGAGTGTAATCGTGATCGCTCTCTAAATCCTGGGTACTTTACCATCTGAAGGTCACAGGTCATATAAACAAAAGGAGCTTGTTGTGGCGGGTTTAGTGGGTTGGCAAGGGAGAGAGAGAGAGAGAGCAGAAGAGGAGAGAGGGGAATCAGAGCCTCTCCTCTCTTTGCTCTCCTCTCTCCTCTTATTTTTCTCTTCTCTCTCTCTCTCTGTTTTTCTCTCATCCCTCGCTCTTCTCTCTCCTTCTCTCTCTTCTCTGCTCTTTCTCCTCTCTCCTCTCTCTCTCTCCTCTCTCTTTGCCTCTCTCTCCTCTCTCTGTCTCTCTCTCTCTCTCTATGGTTCCTCCCTCTCCTCCTCTCTCTTTCTCTCTCTCTCTCCTGTCTTCGCTCCTCTCGCTCTGCGTTGCGATCTCTCCGCTCTGATTCCTTTTTCTCTCTCTCTCCTCTCTCTCTCCTCTACTCTCTCTCTCTTTTTCCTCTTCTCCCTCCCCTTTCTTTTTTCTCTCTCCTCCCCTTTCTTCGTTGCTGGCATCGTCGGGAGTCGCGTCTCTCTCTTCTCTCTCCTGCTCCTCTCTTTTTTCTCTCTCGCTTCCTCCTTTCTCTCTCTCTCTCCCTTTCCTCTCTCTCTCTTCGGTCCCGTCCGCGAACCGCTGGATGAGAGAATCTTATTCAGCCAGTCAGTCTTTGTCTGATTCATTTATAAGAGTTATCAGCCAGTCTGAACATCTCAACACCACCTGAACAACAGAGCACAGCAGCAGCACCTGAACCCAGCTGGTGTAGAGGTGTGATCGTGAGCCTACAATAGGTCATCCCTCCCCTCCCCTTCAGAACTCCAGCTGGTGTAGAGGTGTGATCGTGAGCCTACAATAGGTCATCCCTCCCCTCCCCTTCAGAACTCCAGCTGGTGTAGAGGTGTGATCGTGAGCCTACAATAGGTCAGCCCTGCCCTCCCCTTCAGAACTCCAGCTGGTGTAGAGGTGTGATCGTGAGCCTACAATAGGTCATCCCTCCCCTCCCCTTCAGAACTCCAGCTGGTGTAGAGGTGTGATCGTGAGCCTACAATAGGTCATCCCTCCCCTCCCCTTCAGAACTCCAGCTGGTGTAGAGGTGTGATCGTGAGCCTACAATAGGTCAGCCCTGCCCTCCCCTTCAGAACTCCAGCTGGTGTAGAGGTGTGATCGTGAGCCTACAATAGGTCATCCCTCCCCTCCCCTTCAGAACTCCAGCTGGTGTAGAGGTGTGATCGTGAGCCTACAATAGGTCATCCCTCCCCTCCCCTTCAGAACTCCAGCTGGTGTAGAGGTGTGATCGTGAGCCTACAATAGGTCAGCCCTCCCCTCCCCTTCAGAACTCCAGCTGGTGTAGAGGTGTGATCGTGAGCCTACAATAGGTCATCCCTCCCCTCCCCTTCAGAACTCCAGCTGGTGTAGAGGTGTGATCGTGAGCCTACAATAGGTCAGCCCTGCCCTCCCCTTCAGAACCCAGCTGGTGTAGAGGTGTGATCGTGAGCCTGCAATAGGTCATCCCTCCCCTCCCCTTCAGAACCCAGCTGGTGTAGAGGTGTGATCGTGAGCCTGCAATAGGTCATCCCTCCCCTCCCCTTCAGAACTCCAGCTGGTGTAGAGGTGTGATCGTGAGCCTGCAATAGGTCATCCCTCCCCTCCCCTTCAGAACTCCAGCTGGTGTAGAGGTGTGATCGTGAGCCTGCAATAGGTCATCCCTCCCCTCCCCTTCAGAACTCCAGTTGTGCCTCAATGGTAACGTCCCAAATGGCACCCTATTCCCTATATAGTGCACTACTTTAGACCAGAGAATGGCACCCTATTCCCTATATAGTGCACTACTTTAGACCAGAGAATGGCACCCTATTCCCTATATAGTGTACTACTTTAGACCAGAGAATGGCACCCTATTCCCTATATAGTGCACTACTTTAGACTCTGCAGAGCCCATAGGTCAAAAGATGGGCCCTGGTCAAAACTAGTGCACTAAATAGGGAATAGGATGCCATTTGGGAAACAGGTTGATACTGTCCAGCTGCTCTATCCAGCCCCCCCCCCCCCCCACACACACACACTGACCTTCAAAGCTTCCCCTGTCTCTATGGTTTCCTGGTGTGTGTATGTACCCACACACTGACCTTCAAAGCTTCCCTGTCTCTATGGTTCCTGGGTGTGTGTATGTACCCACACACTGACCTTCAAAGCTTCCCTGTCTCTATGGTTCCTGGTGTGTGTATGTACCCACACACTGACCTTCAAAGCTTCCCTGTCTCTATGGTTCCTGGTGTGTGTATGTACCCACACACTTGACTTCAAAGCTTCCCTGTCTCTATGGTTCCTGGTGTGTGTATGTACCCACACACTGACCTTCAAAGCTTCCCCTGTCTCTATGGTTCCTGGTGTGTGTATGTACCCACACACTGACCTTCAAAGCTTCCCTGTCTCTATGGTTCCTGGTGTGTGTATGTACCCACACACTGACCTTCAAAGCTTCCCTGTCTCTATGGTTCCTGGTGTGTGTATGTACCCACACACTGACCTTCAAAGCTTCCCTGTCTCTATGGTTCCTGGTGTGTGTATGTAGCGTGAGCGGGAAAGTGTCATCTGTGTGACTGTCATCGGACTTCCAGGTGACTCACCACGGTGACTGCGTCGTTAAGCAGGGACTCACCACGGTGACGGCGTCGTTAAGCAGGGACTCACCACGGTGACGGCGTCGTTAAGCAGGGACTCTCCGAACACGATGATGAAGAGGGTCTCGTTGACTTGGACCTCCTCGAACACGGCCAGCACCGCTACCGGGTCCACCGCAGAGATCAACGCTCCAAACAACAGGAACTCCATCAGACCTGCCTGCACCTTCTGATCTGAACACACAGAGACACATCAGACCTGCCTGCACCTTCTGATCTGAACACACAGAGACACATCAGACCTGCCTGCACCTTCTGATCTGAACACACAGAGACACATCAGACCTGCCTGCACCTTCTGATCTGAACACACAGAGACACATCAGACCTGCCTGCACCCTCTGATCTGAACACACAGGGACAAATCACACCTGCCTGCATCTTCTGATCTGAACACACAGGGACACATCAGACCTGCCTGCACCTTCTGATCTGAACACACAGATACACATCAGACCTGCCTGCACCTTCTGATCTGAACACACAGGGACACATCAGACCTGCCTGCACCTTCTGATCTGAACACACAGGGACACATCAGACCTGCCTGCACCCTCTGATCTGAACACACAGAGACACATCAGACCTGCCTGCACCCTCTGATCTGAACACACAGAGACACACCAGACCTGCCTGCACCCTCTGATCTGAACACACAGAGACACATCAGACCTGCCTGCACCCTCTGATCTGAACACGCAGAGACACATCAGACCTGCCTGCACCTTCTGATCTGAACACACAGAGACACATCAGACCTGCCTGCACCCTCTGATCTGAACACGCAGAGACACATCAGACCTGCCTGCACCTTCTGATCTGAACACACAGAGACACATCAGACCTGCCTGCACCCTCTGATCTGAACACGCAGAGACACATCAGACCTGCCTGCACCTTCTGATCTGAACACACAGAGACACATCAGACCTGCCTGCACCCTCTGATCTGAACACGCAGAGACACATCAGACCTGCCTGCACCTTCTGATCTGAACACACAGAGACACATCAGACCCTGCCTGCACCCTCTGATCTGAACACGCAGAGACACATCAGACCTGCCTGCACCTTCTGATCTGAACACACAGAGACACATCAGACCTGCCTGCACATTCTGATCTGAACACACAGAGACACATCAGACCTGCCTGCACCTTCTGATCTGAACACACAGAGACACATCAGACCTGCCTGCACCCTCTGATCTGAACACACAGAGACACATCAGACCTGCCTGCACCTTCTGATCTGAACACACAGAGACACATCAGACCTGCCTGCACCTTCTGATCTGAACACACAGAGACACATCAGACCTGCCTGCACCCTCTGATCTGAACACGCAGAGACACCAAGGGGAATGAATGGACATCAGTTAGCATAGTGGTGTAACGGGCATCATGCTGTTTGCTTTATAGTACTGCTTCCTTCTTCATGAGCCTAACCTGGTATTCCACACTGGATCCTCTGTCTCGCAAACAGACATGATCACCCTCTTGACCTTAGCCATCACAAAGCTAACAATGTGATGGTGCAGGTGATGGTATGTCAAGCTGACAGTGTTGTGTATTTTGAGACAGGCTTGAATATGCAAATACGCCAATAGGCAGCAGGGTAGCCTACATTGTCTAATTCTCTGTATGGTAATAATACATGTTATTTAGTAAAGTGGTTTCTTGCATCATACAACACAATACAATGTAATTTACAGTCACCTATTTGGCCCCTGGTGTTACAGACCAAGTAAAAAAAATCATTAATTAATGTCAAGTCCTTCATCATGTAAAAACGTCTCATGCAATGTAGAACTGCACTGAACACCAGAGGCTACTGTAGGCTATATCATAGATATCAAAAGATATTTCCATGTGAAAATGTTATGGGATTTTCTCCATTGGTTTTGTTGTGACTCCTATATTATGCTCAGATAGCCACAATAACCTGTTGGCTACTGTCTAAAACTGTCAGGATACAGCCTGTTGGCTACTGTCTAAAACTGTCAGGGTACAGCCTGTTGGCTACTGTCTAAAACTGTCAGGATACAGCCTGTTGGCTACTGTCTAAAACTGTCAGGATACAGCCTGTTGGCTACTGTCTAAAACTGTCAGGGTACAGCCTGTTGGCTACTGTCTAAAACTGTCAGGATACAGCCTATTGGCTACTGTCTAAAACTGTCAGGATACAGCCTGTTGGCTACTGTCTAAAACGTCTTGATACAAGCCTGTGGCTACTGTCTAAAACTGTCTAGGATACAGCCTGTTGGCTACTGTCTAAAACTGTCTTGATACAGCCTGTTGGCTACTGTCTAAAACTGTCAGGATACAGCCTGTTGGCCTACTGTCTAAAACTGTCAGGGTACAGCCTGTTGGCTACTGTCTAACAACTGTCAGGATACAGCCTGTTGGCTACTGTCCTAAAACTGTCAGGATACCAGCCTGTTGGCTACTGTTCTAAACTGTCAGATACAGCCTGTTGGCTACTGTCTAAAACTGTCAGGATACAGCCTGTTGGCTACTGTCTAAAACTGTCAGGATACAGCCTGTTGGCTACTGTCTAAAACTGTCAGGATACAGCCTGTTGGCTACTGTCTAAAACTGTCAGGATACAGCCTGTTGGCTATGTCTAAACACTGTCAGGATACAGCCTGTGGCTACTGTCTAAAAACTGTCAGGATACAGCCTGTTGGCTACTGTCAGGATACAGCCTGTTGGCTACTGTCTAAAACTGTCAGGATACAGCCTGTTGGCTACTGTCTAAAACTGTCAGGATACAGCCTATTGCTACCTGTCTAAAACTGTCAGGGTACAGCCGTTTGGCTACTGTCTAAAACTGTCAGGATACAGCCTGTTGGCTACTGTCTAAAACTGTCAGGATACAGCCTGTTTGGCTGTATAAAACCATGTTCATCCCAGGGTGTAACGCATGTCATCCCAGGGTGGTAACGCATGTCATCCCAGGGTGTAACGCTGTCATCCCAGGGTGTAACGCATGTCATCCCAGGGTGTAACGCATGTCATCCCAGGGTGTAACGCATGTCATCCCAGGGTGTAACGCATGTCATCCCAGGGTGTAACGCATGTCATCCCAGGGTGTAACGCATGTCATCCCAGGGTGTAACGCATGTCATCCTTGTAACTGTGGATCAAAACACAACGATCATAAACGTTGACACTGTAAATTAAATGAGTTTTCAAAGCACAGCAGGCTGAAATGTGAAGTGCACCTTTGGACTCACAGGTGTTTGGTTTGCATGACACCAAAGCGGTACTTATTCTAATCCTCAACATCTCATCTTTCAGAACACACAGACTCCTCTCGATTTATAATAATAATAATAATAATAATAATAATAATAATAAGCCATTTAGCAGACGCTTTTATCCAAAGCGACTTACAGTCATGTGTGCATACATTTTTACGTATTGGTGGTCCCGGGGATCGAACCCACTACCCTGGCGTAACAAGCGCCATGCTCTACCAACTGAGCTACAGAGGACCACTTACAGCATTTCCCCTCACTCAGACAACAACTAAATGTGCAAAAGTTACCCAATCAGCAGGAGGGATGAGGGTAACTTCCTGTCGCGCGAGGTGCTCAAGTTCACAACGTCTGTCAGTCAAAACCCAGACAGAGCTGTGAAGGGCAGCGCCGGAGGTCTGACCTCATGTATAGCATGTTACTGTCCAGCCACTGACCTCTGACGTCATGTATAGCGTGTTACTGTCCAGCCACTGACCTCTGACCTCATGTATAGCATGTTACTGTACAGCCACTGACCTCTGACGTCATGTATAGCATGTTACTGTCCAGCCACTGAGCTCTGACGTCATGTATAGCGTGTTACTGTCCAGCCACTGAGCTCTGACGTCATGTATAGCATGTTACTGTCCAGCCACTGACCTCTGACGTCATGTATAGCATGTTACTGTCCAGACACTGAGCTCTGACGTCATGTATAAGCAGGTTACTGTAAACATGCCACTGAGCTTCTGACCTCATGTATAGGCATGTCTATGTCGCAGCCACTGAAGCCTAGACAATCATGTATAGCTATGTTAACTGTCCAGCCACTGAGCGCTGACCTCATGGAAATAGCAATGTTAGCTGTACAGGCCACTGGATGGCTCGGCACCGTCATGTTATAGGTCATGTTACTGTCCATGCAGCCACTGAGCTCTGACCGTCATGTACCATTAAGTCATGTTAACTGTCCCAGCCACTGAGCTCTGACTTCATGTATAGCATGTTAACTGTCCAGTCCACTGAGCTCTGAACTCATGTATAGCATGTACTGTCCAGCCACTGACCTCTGACGTCATGTATAGCGTGTTACTGTCCAGCCACTGAGCTCTGATGTCATGTATAGCATGTTACTGTCCAGACAACTGAGCTCTGACGTCATGTATAGCATGTTACTGTACAGCCACTGAGCTCTGACGTCATGTATAGCATGTTACTGTCCAGCCACTGAGCCTGACGTCATGTATAGCATGTTACTGTCGCAGCCACTGAGCTCTGACGTCATCATGTATAGCATGTTACTGTACAGCCACTGAGCTCTGACGTCATTATAGCGTGTTACTGTCCAGCCACTGACCTCTGACGTCATGTATAGCATGTTTACTGTATAGCCACTGAGCTCTGACCTCATGTCATAGCATGTTACTGTCCAGCCACTGAGCTCTGACGTCATCATGTATAGCATGTTACTGTACAGCCACTGAGCTCTGACGTCATATATAGCATGTTACTGTCCAGCCACTGACCTCTGACGTCATGTATAGCATGTTACTGTATAGCCACTGAGCTCTGACCTCATGTATAGCATGTTACTGTCCAGCCACTGAGCTCTGACGTCATCATGTATAGCATGTTACTGTACAGCCACTGAGCTCTGACGTCATATATAGCATGTTACTGTCCAGCCACTGACCTCTGACGTCATGTATAGCATGTTACTGTATAGCCACTGAGCTCTGACCTCATGTATAGCATGTTACTGTCCAGACACTGAGCTCTGACGTCATGTATAGCATGTTACTGTATAGCCACTGAGCTCTGACCTCATGTATAGCGTGTTACTGTCCAGCCACTGAGCTCTGACGTCATGTATAGCATGTTACTGTCCAGACACTGAGCTCTGACGTCATGTATAGCGTGTTACTGTCCAGCCACTGAGCTCTGACGTCATGTATAGTGTGTTACTGTGCAGCCACTGAGCTCTGACGTCATGTATAGCATGTTACTGTATAGCCACTGAGCTCTGACGTCATCATGTATAGCATGTTACTGTACAGCCACTGAGCTCTGACGTCATGTATAGCATGTTACTGTATAGCCACTGAGCTCTGACGTCATCATGTATAGCATGTTACTGTCCAGCCACTGAGCTCTGACCTCATGTATAGCATGTTACTGTCCAGACACTGAGCTCTGACGTCATGTATAGCGTGTTACTGTCCAGCCACTGCGTTCCAATTTAGGTGCTTATCAATGACGAAATCTGCCATTTTCAAGTGGAAAGTGAGTGTAAAGGGCTTCCTCCGTAGAGAAGGCACTCCAGAGGTTCCCACCACAGCATTCAGTAGGATGGCTCCATTTACATTTACGTCATTTAGCAGACGCTCTTATCCAGAGCCACTTACAGTTAGTGAGTGCATACATTTTATTTGTATTTATTTTTCATTCTGGCCCCCCGTGGGAATCAAACCCACAACCCTGGCGTTGCAAACACCATGCTCTACCAACTGAGCTACATCAGGCTCCCTAACCATGACCCCTAACCTAACCCCAACCACTCACCTCTGACCCCCAACCACTCACCTCTGACCCACAACCACTCACCTCTGACCCACAACCACTCACCTCCGATCCCCAGCAGCTTGACTCACCTCCGACCCCCAGCAGCTTGACTCACCTCCGATCCCCAGGAGCTTGACTCACCTCTGAACCCCAGCAGCTTAACTCACCTCTGAACCCCAGCAGCTTGACTCACCGCTGTTCCCCAGCAGCTTGACTCACCTCTGATCCCCAGCAGCTTGACTCACCTCTGATCCCCAGCAGCTTGACTCACCTCTGAACCCCAGCAGCTTGACTCACCTCTGAACCCCAGCAGCTTGACTCGCCTCCGATCCCCAGCAGCTTGACTCACCTCCGACCCCCAGCAGCTTGACTCACCTCTGATCCCCAGCAGCTTGACTCACCTCTGATCCCCAGCAGCTTTTACTCACCTATGATCCCCAGCAGTTTAACCCCGTAGAGGCAGAAGCCGGTACAGAAGGCATTCCAGAGTGTTCCCACCACAGCATACAGTAGGATGGTTCCCAGATTGTCAAAGAAGAGCCTTGCGGGCATGAAATACCCGGCGTCACCTAAATCAAATCAAAGAGGATCTGTCATATGCACAGGATACAGGGTAGACGGGGTTCAATGAGCTGCTGACTTGTGAGCAGTAGTGGAGATTCCCCCAGAGAGAAGGCACCTACCTACGATGGTGGGCAGGAGGAAGAGGAAGAACAGACCGGGCTCTAGCTGGTACAGTTGTTTCTTACTGGCCAGCAGTACTATGCCACCCAGCACCAGACCCAGCAGGATCAACATACAGCTCTCTGGAACCACCGTGGTGAACCGCTGGGAGAAGTGGAACACTGAGAAGAAAGGACCAGGAAGAGCAGAAGGTGAGCTAGAGGAGAGGAGGAAGAGGAGAGGGAGGAGAGGAAGGAGAGGAGAGAGGACAAAGGAGAGTTGACCCCCATTGCGCGTATCATCGTCGCTCTTCATGATTATTGCATAGACGAAGTTGCTTTTTTTAAGAAGCTTTCCTGTTGTCCCCATGTGGACAACATGGATGGCTAAGTCATTTCATCTAAATAATCTTAACTTTTATAGCCCTGGCTACAATTATACTGGACGGTAAATCTATTGAATATATATTTCATTATCCCCTTAACTACAGTTGCATTATTTTAGAAAGAGAGACAATTTAAGATACCAATAATTAAGTATTAATTTCCCCAATGTAGACAAAAGGGTGAACTTATAACATCCCATTTTTTATTATTATCCTAAATTAAGACAAGGAGCCTAAATATAGGAAAAATTGGAAAAAAGGAGTAGAAGGAAGGAGAGGGTACACAGACCCCTTTAAATACATCATAACGTACATACATCAGATAGCACCAGGCCCTTAAAACACATCAGATAGCACCAGCCTGCAGAAACACATCAGATAGCACCAGGCCCCGCAAATCACATCAGATGCACCAGGCCTGCAGAATCATATGATAGCACCAGCCCTGCAGATCACATCAGATAGCACCAGGCCCAGCAGAATCACATCAGATAGCACCAGGCCCTGCAGAATCACATCAGATAGCACCAGGCCCTGCAGAATCACATCAGATAGCACCAGGCCCTGCAGAATCACATCAGATAGCACCAGGCCCTGCATAATCACACCAGATAGCACCAGGCCCTGCAGAATCACATCAGATAGCACCAGGCCCTGCAGAATCACATCAGATAGCACCAGGCACTGCATAATCACACCAGATAGCACCAGGCCCTGCAGAATCACATCAGATAGCACCAGGCCCTGCAGAATCACATCAGATAGCACCAGGCCCTGCAGAATCACATCTCTCTGGGACAAGTGGAACACTGGGACACAGACACAGGTATGGACACACACACACACACACAACACACACACACACACACACACACACACACACACACACACACACCACACACACACACACACACACACACAACAAGAAAATGTAGGCTATGCAATTAATATATACTGAATTCTAGTCAAGGCTCATCCTATATAACTACTGCTGAACACACCTTTTCTATCATATACTGTCCATAATGTCTATACACACCATCCTGTACATTTATATTCCAGACTGTGACATTGCTCGTTCTAATATTTATTTATATTTTTTAGATGTGTGTGTGTGTATTGTTAGATATTACTGCACTGTTGGAGCTAGGAACACAAGCATTTCACTACACCCGCAATAACATCTGCTAAATATGATGTATGCGACCAATAAAATGTGATTTAATTTAATATGCATAGCACAGGTACGAAGAAGATCCAATCTATTCACACATATCAGCAAAATGGGTAATTTATGCAAGTCCCATCCGCCCCACCTGATCACCCCTACCAACCCCAGTGATGATGTGCTGGCACTGCAACCATGCATCAAACATCTGAGTTGACACCAGATACTGATTCCACAGTTGCTAAGGGGTCCAGTGCTATCTATGATGTCAGTGAACTGAGCTGCACTTGGCTTTAACTTTGGAGGCCTCTTCCCTCCGTTCTATTGGCCAACGGGCAACCACTGGAGAATGTCCTATCAACGGGACATTAAAAACTGTAATATCTTATGTTTCACCGAGTCGTGGCTGAACGAGGACATGGATAACATACAGTTGGCTGGGTTTTCCGTGCATCGGCAAGACAGAACAGCTGCCTCCGGTAAGACGAGGGGTGGTGGTCTGTGTCTATTTGTCAATAACAGCTGGTACCCAATCTGTAATATTAAGGAAGTCTCTGGGTTCTGCTTGACTGAGTTAGAATACCTCATGATAAGCTGTAGAGGACTGACTCCATCCAGAGGGATAACAGAGGACTGACTCCATCCAGAGGGATAACAACAGAGGACTGACTCCATCCAGAGGGATAACAACAGAGGACTGACTCCATCCAGAGGGATAACAGAGGACTGACTCCATCCAGAGGGATAACAACAGAGGACTGACTCCATCCAGAGGGATAACAACAGAGGACTGACTCTATCCAGAGGGATAACAACAGAGGACTGACTCCCCCCAAGGGATAACAACGGGACTGACTCCATCCAGAGGTAAACAGAGGGCTGACTCCATCCAGAGGGATAAAACAAGGACTGACTCCATCCAGAGGGATAACAACAGAGGACGACTCCATCCAGAGGGATAAACAACAGAAATACTGACTCCATCCCGAGGGATAACAACAGAGGACTGATCCATCCAAGGGATACCAACAGAGGACTGCTCCATCCAGAGGGATAACAACAAGGACTGACTCCATCCAGAGGGATAACCAACAGAGGACTGGACTCCAAACCGAGGTATAAAAAAGACCACCGGGTGCCCATCCAGGGGATAAACACAGGCCTGACTCCATCCAGAGGGATAACAACAGAGGACTGACTCCATCCAGAGGGATAACAACAGAGGACTGACTCCATCCAGAGGGGACACGGGACTGACTCCATCCAGAGGATAACAACAGAGGACTGACTCCATCCAAGAGGGATAAACAGAGGACTGACTCCATCCAGAGGGGATAACAACAGAGGACTGACTCCATCCAGAGGGGGATAACAACAGAGGACTGACTCCATCCAGAGGGATAACAACAGAGGACTGACTCCATCCAGAGAGGGATAACAACAGAGGACTGACTCCATCCAGAGGGGGATAACAACAGAGGACTGACTCCATCCAGAGGGGATAACAACAGAGACTGACTCCATCCAGAGGGGATAACAACAGAGGACTGACTCCATCCAGAGGGGATAACAAACAGAGGACTGACTCCATCCAGAGAGGGATAACAACAGAGGACTGACTCCATCCAGAGGGATAACAACAGAGGACTGACTCCATCCAGAGGGATAACAACAGAGGACTGACTCCATCCAGAGAGGGATAACAACAGAGGACTGACTCCATCCAGAGGGATAACAACAGAGGACTGACTCCATCCAGAGGGGATAACAACAGAGGACTGACTCCATCCAGAGGGATAACAACAGAGGACTGACTCCCTCCAGAGGATAACAGAGGGCTGCTCCATCCAAGGGGGATAACCAACAGAGGACTGACTCCCTCCAGAGGGATAACAACAGAGGACTGACTCATCCAGAGGGATAACAACAGGGACTGACTCCATCCAGAGGGATAACAACAAAAGGACTGCTCCTCCAGAGGGATAACACGAGGGACTGACTCCATCCAGGGTACAACAGGGACGACTCCATCCAGAGGGTAACACAAAAGAGTGACTCCATCCAAGGGGAACAACAGATGGGCTGACTCCATCCAGAGGGATAAAACAAGGACTGACTCATCCAGAGGATACACAGAGGACTGACTCCATCCAGAGAGGGGTAACAACAAGGACTGACTCCATCCAAGGGATAACAACAGAGGCTGACTCCATCCAAGGGATAACAACAGAGGACTGACTCCATCCAAAAGGGATGACAACAGAGGACATGACTCCATCCAGAGGGTAAAACAGAGGACTGACTCCATACAGAGGGGGATAACAACAGAGGACGATCCATCCAGAGGGATCACCAACAGAGGACTGACTCTATCCAGAGGGATAACAGAGGACTGCCTCCATCCAGAGGGATAACAACAGAGGACTGACTCCATCCAGAGGGATAAAACAAAAGGAACGACTCCATCCAGAGGTGATAAGCAGATGTGCTGACTCCATCCCAGAGGGATAACAACAGAGGACTGTAATGACAGTGTTCCCTGGCAGTAAGGGGTTACAGTAATCAGGCCGTAATGACAGTGTTCCCTGGCAGTAAGGGGTTACAGTAATCAGGCCGTAATGACAGTGTTCCCTGGCAGTAGGGGTTACAGTAATCACGGCCGTAATGACAGTGTTCCCTGGCAGTAAGGGGGTTACAGTAATCAGGCCGTAATGACAGTGTTCCCTGGCAGTAAGGGGTTTACAGTAATCAAGGCCGTAATGACAGTGTTTCCCTGGCAGTAAGGGGTTACAGTAATCAGGCCGTAATGACAGTGTTCCCTGGCAGTAAGGGGTTACAGTAATCAGGCCGTAATGACAGTGTTCCCTGGCAGTAAGGGGTTAAAGCAATCAGGCCGTAATGACAGTGTTCCCTGGCAGTAAGGGGTTACAGTAATCAGGCCGTAATGACAGTGTTCCCTGGCAGTAAGGGGTTAAAGCAATCAGGCCGTAATGAGAGTGTTCCCTGGCAGTAAGGGGTTACAGTAATCAGGCCGTAATGACAGTGTTCCCTGGCAGTAAGGGGTTAAAGCAATCAGGCCGTAATGACAGTGTTCCCTGGCAGTAAGGGGTTACAGTAATCAGGCCGTAATGACAGTGTTCCCTGGCAGTAAGGGGTTACAGTAATCAGGCCGTAATGACAGTGTTCCCTGGCAGTAAGGGGTTACAGTAATCAGGCCGTAATGACAGTGTTCCCTGGCAGTAAGGGGTTACAGTAATCAGGCCGTAATGAGAGTTATAAGAGCTGTGCTGCCTAGTTAGTCTGAAATCAGTCATGTAGAGCTCAGCTCACGGCCACTGTGTGTGTGTGTGTGTGATGTTTCCGTGCACGTGTGTGTGTTAGTGTCTGTGTGTGTGTGTGATGTCTCCGTGCGTGTGTATGTGTTAGTGTCTGTGTGTGTGTGTGTGATGTTTCCGTGCACGTGTGTGTGTGCGTCTGTGTCCATGTTTGCCTGTTCTGTCTTTGTTCTCTCTGATGACTCACAGCAGGCCTTGATTGATATGTCCCAGGCAGAGGTGTGCTCATGGCCCCACACACACACACACACCACACACACATTAAAGGACCCAAACACACACATTTCCTTATCGCCACACACAGTAACAGCTGCCCCTGCAAAACTGATTAGCGAGCTTCACATTTATAACGACACATAAAAGCCCATTTATAACACATAGATCCCCATTTATAACACATAGAACCCCATTTATAACACCTAAAACCCCATTTATAACACATAAAAGCCCATTTATAACACATAGAACCCCATTTATAACACATAAAAGCCCATTTATAACACATAAAAGCCCATTTATAACACATAAAAGCCCATTTATAACACATAGAACCCCATTTATAACACATAGAACCCCATTTATAACACATAAAAGCCCATTTATAACACATAAAAGCCCATTTATAACAACACATAGAACCCCATTTATAACACATAAAAGCCCATTTATAACACATAGAACCCCATTTATAACACATAGAACCCCATTTATAACACATAAATCCCCATTTATAACATATAAAAGCCCATTTATAACACATAAAAGCCCATTTATAACACATAGAACCCCATTTATAACACATAGAACCCCATTTATAACACATAGAACCCCATTTATAAACACATAGAACCCCATTTATAACACATAAAAGCCCATTTATAATACATAAAAGCCCATTTATAACAACACATAAAACCCCATTTATAACGACACATAAAAGCCCATTTATAACACATAGAACCCCATTTATAACACATAGAACCCCATTTATAACACCTAAAACCCCATTTATAACGACACATAAAAGCCCATTTTTAACACATAAAAGCCCATTTATAACACATAAAAGCCCATTTGTGTGGGCCAGCAGTCCCACTAAGAGGAACAGGTTCATAATGATATTGAGATCCACCACCTCAGTGATATTACTGGTCATTACTGAGCTCTGCTTCTGGATTACACAATACTATTAAGACTAGCACTGCTGTGTGTGTGTGTGTGTGTGTGTGTGTGTGTGCGCATATGTGTGTATGTGTGTATGCGTGCGTGTGTGTACATAAATCAAATTGCCATTTAGGAGATGCTTTCATCCAAAGCGACTTAGTCATGCGTGCATTTCTTTTGTTAACAAATGGTGTGTGTGTGTGTGTGTGTGTGTGTGTGTGTGTGTGTGTGTGTGTGTGGTTGTTCACTAATAAGACTATAGCGGGGCAGAAGTAACCAGGCTGCTCCAAACTGGGGGTTTGAGGAGGTTAGTTTGTAAGGGTTAAAATGCTGCCCCCCTTTAAACCCCTGGGGCCCCCCTATACTGCTCCCCCCTCTAATACATTTATCAAACCTATATGCTGGGCCCCCCTTAAAACAATGATCAGCTCTATAAGCGCCCCCTCCCCAATACACTGATCAGCTTTATACTGGCCCCCCTCTAAAAAAAGGGTCAGCTCTATATGCTGCCTCTCCCCTAATACACTGTCAGGGTTATAATGCTGCCCCCCTCTAATACCTGACAGCTTTATAGCTGCCCCCTCCTCTAATCCCCTGATCCGCTCTATTTCGCTGCCCCCTCTCTAAAACACTGAAAGTCTATAATGGTGCCTCCTCTTTAATACAATGGGATCAGCTTTTACTGCTGCCTCCTCCTCTTAAAAAATGATCGCTCATATCCGGGTTTTCCTCTAACCAAAAGATCAGCTCATACGGGTGCCCCCTATAATTTCACTGACAGCTTATACTGCTTTCCCCCCCCTCCCAATACACTGATCAGCCTCTTTTTGCTGCCTCCTCCCCAATACACTGACAGCTCATTTTGCCCCCTTTTTCCCCTAATACCTGTCAGCTCTATATTTCTGCCCCCTCTAATACACTGATCCTTTACTGCGGGCCCCCTCTTAATAAACTATCAGCTCTATATGCTGCCCCCCCCTCTAATACATGATTTGTCTATTTTGGCCTCCTCCTCAATAAACTGATAGTCTATCTTTCTGCCTCCCCAATACCACTGGTCAGCTTATACTGCCCGCCCCCTAATACACTGATCAGCTCTTACGGTGCCTCCCCCTTAATACACTGATCGTTATACTGCTCCCCCCTCCTCTAATACCCCTGATCAGCTCTATTTTGCTGCCCCCCCCTCTAATTTCCCCTGGTCAGCTCTGACGCGGGTTCCCCTAAAACACTGGCTTTAGCCTTACTGCTGCCTCCTAATACAATGATCAGCTCTTTAAAGCCCCCCCCTCTAACAAAGATCCGCTCTATACTGCCCCCTCCTCTAAAAACTGATCAGATCTATACTGTGCCTCCTCCCTCAATAACTGATCAGTCTATACTTTCTGCCTCCTCTAAAACAATTCAGCTTATACGGGGCCTCCCCCTAAAAACCCCTGATAGTCTATACTGGACCCCCCCTCCCCATACAATGATCAGCTCTATATGCTGCCTCCTCTCTAATACACTGACAGCTCATAATCTGCCCCTCCTCTAATACACTGACAGCTCTTAATGCCCCTCCTCTAATACCAAATGATAAACCTTTGCTGCCCTCCTCCCAACCAAATTTAGCTCTAATGCTGCCCCTTTAAAAACTTTATCGCTCTTACTGCCCCCTCCCCTAATTTCATGATCAGCTCTATACGCGCCTCCTCTAAAAACCCCTGATCAGCTCTATAAAGGGTGCCCCCCCCTTAATTTCACTGATCAGCTTATATGGGCCTCCTCCCCTAATACAAGATAGCTTATACTG